CCTCACATTCCTTTTCGCCTCATTAGAGGGAGAGAGAGAGAGCGGCCACTGGTGGCCACGGTGTGAGCTACACCCTCACACACACACACACAGCCGTCGGTTCACTTCTCTGTTTGTTGTCACAGCGCCACCTGCAGCAGAAGATGATTTAAAGAAGAAGAAGAAGAATCTGTCCACGTTCGTCAGGTTAACGCTGGAGTCGCATTCACTTCTCTCTTTCACCAGGGGTCGCTGCAGCGGTGGTTGTGTTTTAGTAGAGTTGTTATACCAACCTTCTCCACCAGGGTTGGTAGACGTGAACCCAAAGGTGTTTGACCTGTGACCTCATCATCACCAGCGCACATTTAAATGTCGCTGGTCGGAAAGAACTGAGGCTCAATATGTGGAGCTAACGGGCTAACAGGCTAACGGTAGTTACAATGTGAATATATATTTTCTCTATCCCTTTGTGTTGACTATATAAAATGTAATTTTCTTTTCATGTATGACCTAAATTTGACTTTTCTGGTTCCCTCCAAAGGCGCAGAGGCAACGTTTGCCCAACAACCCCAGGACCTGGTGGTGGTGGCCGGCCAACCCGTGACACTGCCCTGCACTATCCCTGCTTACCACGGCGTTGTCCTCTGGACACGTTCACTGGATCCATCCAACCTCTCTGTTACTTCTAAACGGTTCTTTTTCCCCATCGGTTCCAGTTGGTACTGTTAGTTCAGTACTGCAGTGTCGTGTTCTTTGTGACATGTATTGGTCAGGACAGCGCCCCCCTGAGTCTGGCTTCAGTAATTACAGTAGATGTTCATGATGTCTGTTTGTTAATCTGCAAATTATTTCTTATTTCCTTAAGTCGTCCGTCATCCTCGACCCCCGCTGCCCCTCCCCCCCGCGCTGGGACGGGAAACTGTACGACTGGAAACTGTACGACAGGAAACTTTACGACGGGAAACTGTACGACGGGAAATTGTACGACAGGAAACTGTACGACAGGAAACTTTACGAAAGGAAACTGTACAACAAGAAACTGTACGACAGGAAACTGTACGACAGGAAACTGTACGACAAGAAACTGTACGACAAGAAACTGTACGACAGGAAACTGTACGACGTGAAACTGTACGATGGGAAACTGTACGACAAGCAACTGTACAACAGGAAACTGTACGACGGGAAACTGTACGACAGGAAACTGTACAACAGACAACTGTACGACGGGAAACTGTACGACAAGAAACTGTACGACAAGAAACTGTACGACAGGAAACTACGACAAGAAACTGTACGACAAGAAACTGTACGACAGGAAACTACGACAAGAAACTGTACGACAAGAAACTGTACGACAGGAAACTGTACGAGAGGAAACTGTACGACAAGAAACTGTACGACAGGAAACTGTACGACGTGAAACTGTACGATGGGAAACTGTACGACAAGCAACTGTACAACAGGAAACTGTACGACGGGAAACTGTACGACAGGAAACTGTACGACAAGAAACTGTACGACGTGTGGTACCGATTGTCTCAGGCTCGTCTCCGTCCTCCTCCCAGAGATGATTTCACTTTCTTCTGGCACACAGTCATCCCAGGAGTACCAGCTGCCACCCCCGCGTCCTTCCCGTGCTTCGGCGGCGCCCCCCCCCCCGTGACCTCAGTCCATGTCCCCAGTGTAGGAGCTGGTGGTTCTTAGAAGACCTGGACCAGGAGCCTCATCCGACCAGGAGACGGCGTCTCCCTGAACACGGATCCAAAACCAGCCTGGGTCCAGAAAAAAAAAGTCCAGTCAGTTTCAGGAGTGGAAAGTTGGCCTGAAGGGGGGGTAGTTTCCTGATAAGATAGAGAGACAGAGAGAGACAGAGAGAGAGACTGAGGGACAGTGTGTCCTGCTGTCGGCAGCTCAGAAGACTGTCACTTTTCTGAGGGTTGAATCCATCACTTCTGCCTGAAGGCTCCGGGAGGCTGTCTCTGTCTCCACTGCACCTCCCTCTCTCCCTCTCTCTCTCTCTCCACTGCACCTCT